AAAAAAAAAAAAAAAAAGATCCACATGCCAAAGTGGCACATTTTGGGGTGGCCTATTCTGCTCCCTTTCAACCTCAAGGAACTCTAGTGTAGTGTTCCTCAACCTTTTTTCATTATCTTCTCACTAAGAAGCCTTTGTAGACTTTTTTTTTTTCCCCATAATAGAATCCCCCTCACGAAACTTTAAATCCATAGATACACTGTTTATCTGTTTATGTATTTGTGGCCCTTTGGAGGTCCATAAATCATTGTCACCTCTAAGATTTCTGATCCCTTGGGGTCCATATTACTCCCATTGAGAATGTGTGGTTTGGTGGGAGGAAGTGATATAAACAAGGAGATGACAAAATGATGTGCTATTATTATCAAAGTAGAACAAAATACATCAGACCTCAAAGAAAGGAGAGACCTTATATCCAAAAGCTACTTAAATGGCAAGAGTCTATGCTGGGGTTTTTTGGACAGAAAAACAGGTTTTTATCACTAAGCATTTACAAAAGAGCAATTCTCCCTTCCTTCCTTCCTTCCTTCACCCTTTCCTCTTTACTGCCACAAATGCTTCTTGGTTAACTAGTAAGTGCCAAGCACCAAATCTTTCCTTTAACTTTTTTTCCCTAATCCCGTTTTGCTCCCTTCCTGCTACTCTTCCCAGATCCAAGTGCTTTTCTGTTCTTTCCTAAAATAATTTATTCAGGTCCTTTATCCCTACTAATGCTTAGATGATGGATAAAAGATTATAAATGTTATCCTTCTGTGGTCACTTTCTTTAGGTACAGAATCTTAGTTGTATTCTAGATCTCAATGAGACCAGTGAGAAGACTACATTACCCAACCCTCCTTTCAACAAGGGTTGACCAATGTAATATAAAGGGAAGTTGTTGGATGGGATGTTCAGGAAGCGTATTTTGAAGAGGATAGAAGCTGGCATGGACCTTTTGCCTTTCTTTCTTCTTTTCTGCTGGCTGGAATATATATATGATGGCTTGAGCATCAGCAGCCATTTTGGACTCTGAGTGGAACTTGGAGATGGAATGAACAGACTTAGAATGATAAAGCAAAATGACCAAAGGTGACTGGGTTCTTGATGACCATGGGAGTTCCTTCCCAACATTGGACTGCCTACTGTGAAAAATAAACTCCTATGGGTTTAACCACTGCTATTTGGGGTTTTCTGTTATATGCAGCCAAATCTAATACAAACTACTACCTTTCAGTGGTGGTATTTGCATTTCAACAAGCATTAAGAGTTTAACCTAAAAGAATGAAACTCTATCCCAAAGTTTCCCGAATTATATTTTCAGAAATGCTCCCAAATATTTATTTTTGTTTAAGGGGATAAAAATTGCTTGCCAGTTACTGTAATGTGTGCTTGTGTCAAACTGAACATCAGCCCATGAGACTTTCTAATTACACATTTGTGAATAAGAAGTAATCCCATGGAGAGAACTGTTATTCATGTATATCTATTTATAGCTGCAGAAGATGGTTCCTATAGTTAAGGGTCAAAATAATCAATGCATACCTGAAAAATAGGTAAGTTTATGTATTAGACCAGCTCCCTTCAAATAAAGCCAAATAGACATTTCAAAACAAACAAACAAGCAAACAAAAATGTAGCATTTAGAAAAAGGAAGAGAGTAAAAAAGAAGTTAAGTGGATGGGATTTTTGGCAGTTCTGAGATTAAATATTAATTAGTTGGAGTTCTGTCAGGAAACAGAAGGCACACCCAGCTGTGATCTGTGAAGACAACTTAATGAACAGACTACTTATGGAGGTGTGGGCAGTGTTAAGAGAACCAACAAGAGATGTTACCTGTGGTGACTCCTGCTGGCCAAACCCAAGCAGAATCCAGAACATAAGGGAGTCTGGGACACCAAGCAGGGCCCAGATGGACCATGAATAGATTAGGAGGAGAGATTCAAGTAGCAAATACCCAGCATACTGAAAAATGTGTAAATGGGGATAAAAACAGTGCCTATCCCCTAAATTTGCTTTGAGGATTAAATGAGACAGTGCTTGTATAATTCTTCATACAATGCCTGGCATAAAGGATGCATCCAATTAAAGCTACCTATTATTTTAATTTTATCAGCTATTGAATATACAGACATACTTATTTGTTTCAAGTTAAGGCCAGTTTGTCAATCAATTGTTAAGATTTAAAATTTAACATCTCGAATGTGATTCTGAAAGCTGGCTCACACAGATGTCTTTCCAAGCCGTCTTTTTTCATTAAACTTGATGACTTTATATTCCATAACATAACAAGTAATGTATCAGACAGCAGCTTCATCTCATTTAAGCCTGTATACTCACATGATCCATTCAAATAGTAAAGCAGAAACCAAAGAACATAGAGGAACTTCTCCTTCCCCCTCTGGAAATATAATATGTGAAAAGTCCAAGTTTTTTCTCTTTTGATTTGTAGAAGCACTCATAAAACATTGGTATTCTAGATTCTTCAGCTCCCAAAATTCTTCCCTAGATGCCTTTGATGCCTGACATCCTTCTACAAAGGAATAAAGCTTTTCCTTCTGCAACTGAAGTAAAGACATGAAATGAAAATGGCCTTAGGGAAAACAGCACATTGGTTAAGAGTTCAGATGCTTCCTGGGAAGCAAGTTTTGATACAGGCAGAATGACAGTGAACAGGCTTCCTTTAACAACACAGGTCCTGCTGAGACAGACACAGGCAAGTAAGTGGGAGTGCTCTCCTCTGGCTGTGCCAGAGAGGGAAGGTCAGCAGGCCTGGGCTGAATTAAAAGGGGTGTGACTCAAGGACATGCGAGGCCAGCTGCAGGAGGAAGCAGAATAGTTCTTTTTTTTTTTTTGGTATCATTAATATAGAATCACATGGCAACGTTGTGGTTACTAGATTCCCCCCATTATCAAGTCCCCCCCACATACCCCATTACAGTCACTGTCCATCAGCGTAGTAAGATGCTATAGAGTCACTACTTGTCTTCTCTGTGCTATACTGCCTTCCCTGTGCCCCGCCCCACTACATTATGTGTACGAATCATAATGCCCCTTATTCCCCTTCTCCCTCCCTTGCCACCCACCCTCCCCAGTCCCTTTCCCTTTGGTAACTGTTAGTTCATTCTTGGGTTCTGTGATTCTGCTGCTGTTTTGTTCCTCCAGTTTTTTCTTTGTTCTTATACTCCACAGATGAGTGAAATCCTTTGATACTTGTCTTTCTCCACCTGGCTTATTTCACTGAGCATAATCCCCTCTAGCTCCATCCATGTTGTTGCAAATGGTAGGATTTGTTTTCTTCTTATGGCTTAGTAATATTCCATTGTGTATATGTACCACATCTTCTTTATCCATTCATCTATTGATGGACACTTAGGTTGCTTCCATTTCTTGGCTATTGTAAATAGTGCTGTGATAAACATAGGAGTGCATATGTGTTTTCGAAACTGGGCTCCTGCATTCTTAGGGTAAATTCCTAGGTCAAATGGTATTTCTATTTTGAGTTTTTTGAGAAACCTCCATACTGCTTTCCACAATGGTTGAACTAATTTACATTCCCACCAGCAATGTAAGAGAGCTCCCCTTTCTCCACACCCTCGCCAACATTTGTTGTTGTTTGTCTTTTGGATGGTGGTCATACTTACTGGTGTGAGGTGATATCTCATTGTGGTTTTAATTTGCATTTCTCTGATGATTAGCGATATGGAGCATCTTTAATGTGCCTGTTGGCCATCTGAATTTCTTCTTTGGAGAAGGGTCTCTTCAGATCCTCTTCCCATTTTTTAATTAGATTATTTGCTTTTTGTTTGCAGCAGAATAGTTCTTGACCAGAGCCTGGGTCAGAGCTGGGAAGTCAATTTCATGTGTGCCATCCAAAAGGTGAGTCCAGGAGAGAAAATTAGTATGGAATGTGAGTTGTGCTTAAGGAGGATGGTCAAAATATTTAACAATAGGTATAGTAATATGGAGATGCAGACATAGAAATATAATACATGTAGAGGGAGATAGAGGCATATTTGGATATATTGATTTTATGTAATACATCAGTAAAAAATTAAATGCATATAAATCCTTTTATTTTCTACCTCTACAGATGTATATATTATAAAACTACTTATTAATTATTTATCAAATAGTTCTAGTCATTTCTAAATTATTTGTTGAGTTTTAGAAATTCTTTATGGTAGTATTTTGTTTGACATGTGCTGTTACTGCCAAATAATGCTTCTGAGTGAGCAGTGGTTTGATGCAGCAACATCAAATTCTTCTAACAATTTCACCATTAAATTGATAGTCATTAAGTAGCTTATAGTCTCAATTCATAGATAATTCATCTTAATATCATACTGTTTGTGGTGCTGATGCATCTTTCAGCTTCTGCTGAATGTACAGCATTGACCTTTAATGACTTTGTGGCTTCAATTCTCTTTGAGAATTTTGTGATTCAACATTTTTATTTTCATGACATTTCATAACTAAGTCCTGAAACTCACTTATTGGAATTTTATGTAAAATTGGTTATCTTAATTTAAAAAAATTTTGTTCCCCTTCAGTCCAAAGAGATTCACAAACATCACTCAGTGAAATTTCAGATTTCAATATGATGTTTTCTCCTTATATTTGTCATAAGTAACAATCTATGTTTAAATAATTTTTAAGGCAAATGTTTCTTCTTGGAATTGATATTTGCTTAGTTTCAAAGGGTATGTCCTAATTCTCCATCTCTAATATTATCATCCACCTTTCTTTTTAAAAAATGTTTTTTAATTGAAGTATAATGACATACAATCCTACTAGTTTCAGGAGCACATCATAGTGATTTGATATTTTTATACATTATGAAATGAATCCCATGTTTAGTTGCCATCTGTCACCTACAGTTATTATAATATTATTGACTATATTCCCTATGTTGTATATTATATCCCCATGACTTTTTAAATTTATAATTGGATGTTTATACCTCTTAATCCCCTTCAATTATCTTCCAATCCCTCCATCCCCATGGCAACCAAAGTTTGTTTTCTGTACTTATGTTCTCTTCTGTTTGCTTGTTCATTGGTTTTATTTATTTATTTTTAGATTCCACATATAAGTAAAATCATATGGCAATTATCTTTCTCTGTTTGACTTATTTCACTTAGCATAATGCCCCCTAAATCCATCCATGTCATCACAAATGGCAAGATTTCCTTCTTTTTATGGCCGAGTAATATTCCATTGTATATATGTACCACATCTTTGTCCATTCATCTATTGACAGACACTTAGGTTGGTTCCACATCTACTTTTCTTTATATTTTGATTTATTTTCTTTATATACTCAATAATTTTTCCCTATTATCAAATTAATCTGCCAACTTTAATATCAAAACTTATCTTTCTTGGAGAACTGAAAAAAGTTATTACATCTCAGAATATCATTGACTTAAGCTAAATCTCTTAAAAAGACTACATTTTCCAAATAGTTAATTAATCCTATTTAGTAATTTCTATTATAGTGACTGTATAAGGCTAGCTATCATCTCCAAACTGCTTTTCTAAGACATTGTTAACCTTTTTTCCATAATAGGCTAGGTGGTAAATACTTCAGGCTTTGCAGGACACAGGGCATCTGTAGTAACTATTCAACTCTGCTATTGTAGCATGAAAGGAGTCACAAACAATATGTAAATGGGTGGACATGGCTGAGTTCCAATAAAACTTAATTAATGGTCATTGGAATTTGAATTTTATATAATTTTCACCTGTCATAAACTATTTTTCTTCTTTCGTTCATAGGCCATACAAAATCAGGCAGTAGGCCAGATTTGGCCAATAGGACCAGGGAACAATCTCTGTTCCATCTGATTTACATTTTTATCGTATCATCCAAAGATAATTGAATACAGTGACATACTTCCAAATTAAATTACCCAGAAAGTTTCCTAAAATTTTGGCTGCAGTTCCATTCTTTTCATCAATAAGGTTTTCCTGTTCTATAATATCAACAAAACCATTAAACTATATTGAGCCTTGAATTTAATAATTTAAGTAAGTTATTAAAGTACTTTTATGTGAAACAATTGGAGCATCTTTGATAATTATTGAAATCTGTGTCTCCTGATTTCATATGCTTTCCTGAAAATTATTTTCTCATTTTACTAAATAAGTTTTATAATAAGGAGGACTTTAAGTCTAGATGGTATTATATGCTCTTTTCAATATTATTCTTTTTTTGAAGTTTTGAAGTTCTCATAAAAATTTCCTTTCTGAAAATGCTCTGTAGTAGTATTTTGATGCAGCAAGACATTAATGCAGTAGACAATGTTTAAAATACAGATTGTGTTTTCTAAATGTTTTTCATTTACTTTTTTGACATTTTGATCAAATATTTTCAGGACACTTTTACTATTTCAAAAGCTTTATTTATGGAACTGATTCTTGATGTTATTTCAAACTTTTCCTCGATGATAGTGAATTTTTTTTCTTGAACCATGGGTTTTAACAGAGAATGATTGTCAGGTTGATAAAAACACATTTGGCATGGCAGGGTGGGGGTATTTCAGCAAATCCTAATTAGTTGGGCACACTGATACATCCTCACCCTCACAGCTACAGAAAGGCAGGCCACCTCTGGGATGGTGTAGTCGTGGATCTGTGTTCTCAGAGGACAGAGGCCCTGGGATGTAGAAGAGGAAGGCTTGGGTTCATGATGCAGCAATGCCATTTAGCAGCTCTGTCCTCACCTGTTAAAAAAAGTTGGGGGATTAATGATAGCATCTTTCCTACCTGCTTGAAACGTTTTTTGTTACATCATAGTTACAGTTTGCTTTAAGAAACAAAGAACAAAAAAACACATTTGGCACATTTAAACTTAAGTGATCTAACTTCAGAGTTCATTTGCACCTAACATTTATGTCCGAAGAATAAGCTACTTGTATTTTTTGTTGAAATAACCAAGCCCAGTTTTAATGGTAGTATTACACATTATTTTATGTTGAACTTATTCTTGCATAATATCAAAGGACATTTCAGGCTGTTGTGAATTTGGTTGACTACCAAAAGTTGTTACACGATTCAGTTCATTATTGAAAGCATTTCTTTGTTCTTTCCTTCCAATTCTAAAGATTCATGTTGAAGAAATTTTAAAAGAATATTGAGAAGCTTATCCAAATTTTACTGTCTCTCCATTCTCTAAAATTCTTGAGTTTATGAATATCAACACATTGCACATTTACTACATGCACATTACAATGTACTAATAATGAACCAATGCATGAAGGGAGTTATTTAGAAGTCATTGCAACTAAGTGATTTGAGGATAATAATAAAATGATGCTTTTCCTAAAGCACAGCATGTTTCATAAAATGCAATGCAGCCTTGCCAATATAAAGAATCAGTATCATTCATGTTGTACATATTTTTCATCTATCTAACCCTACACTCAAAGTTAAGACTAATGAATTGTTTAATATTGCTAAATATTTGCCAGCTGCCATGTGCAATCTCAGTGAATACCACACTAATTCATGAGTATCTTTGGACCTACAAGTTGAAACAAGAAAGAAAGGATGGGGGCAACTGGAAGCAATACTTCATTATGCAAGGATCATTTACATTCATTATATTTGACAAGAACGTTAATAATTAACTTGTGTTTTCTCTTGTCTAAGTACTTCCACAACTGAAATCTTCCCTGTACTCCAAAACTATAGGTGTTTTTTATGTTGATTGCTGTGCTACCACAAACTCTTAACAGCAGTTGGGCACAGCTGCCTTTTGTGTTAAGGACACAGGGTGAGAGGTGTGCAGAAACATTTCTCGGAAACCTGGACAGTGTTAGTCACGGGAGTCAATGTTTGAGGTTACAGGTTGCACTGTGCCAGGCTGAGCATTGGATTCCTCATGACGGAAGTGCCTAAGTATTCAATACTTCTCTTTTGGAGGAAAGGATTTGGGATATCTGTGGCTGTCTAAAGCATGGTGTCCAGGATTTTTCTTGTGTGGATCTAACAATGTTACTGATTATGTTTCAAGTATTGTACTCAATGCTACAGTACAGAAGTTAAAAAAGTCAAGTTACAATGGTGGAAGACAGGGAAACTATGCAGTGTGCAAAGTGTTACACTAGAACTGGGCATAGGGCCTGTGGGCAGGAGAGGGGGCACCTACCCCAGCCTGGAGGCGGGTGGAGAGAAAGGCTGGAGGAGCCTTCCTAGAGAAGATCATGTTCTAAGAAGGGGAAATAAGGAAGATAAAGAGTGAGAGTGTTTCAGGTGGAAACAATGGCGGGGAATGAGGAAGGAAGTGGAAATATGGTATGTTGGGGTTGGGCAGAGACCAGAGGCCTCCGAGGTCATACTGAATGAGAGGTTTGGATTTAATCTTGAAGGGCATTTGGAGCCTTGCAAGGAGAGAAGGCAGGGGGATGATGCAACAAGATGTTCATTTCCAAAGGAGTACTTGACAAGAGGCTAGAGGATGGGTTGGGCCAGTGCTGGGATCCCAGCCACAAAAAAAAACTATGGAAAGTCGGGGGTAGAAATGGCAGAGGAGGCAGGCTGACCCTTTAGACATTGGTGGCTCATTATATGTAGGGGAAAGGAGAAGGATTCATCAAAAAAGAAAACTAGGTTTCTGGGTTTTCTGGCATGGTTAACTGGCTGGGCACTGGCACAGTTCCTCAAGATGGGGGGTTACAGAGGAGAGAGAGATAATTTTGTGGAAGGTAAGTTCAGTTGCAGACATACTGAGTGTGGATACATCCAAGTAGAGCTGTCCAGATGAACTCCATGGGTCAGGTCAGAATATAGATTTCAAGAGCGGAGGGCCATCTAAACAAGGGTGGTAGTTGAAATATTGGGAATGGACTCTTCTAGGGAGAAGCTCATGATGGAATGGGTGTGGAGCAGAAAGAAAAGGGAAGAGTGGAAATGAGGGGTGAGGAAGTGAAGGGATAGGTGTGGAGAGGGGAGGGAAGGGGAAGGAGGCGACGTGAGGGAAAGACTGAGGATAG